TATCCCCAAAAGGAAGTACAATGGAGACTACCGGTAAACCCTGAATCACGGAAGCCCAATAGAGTCGATAGCATCCCTTTGCCCATAATGTAGGGGCCTTAAAAAATACAAATACTATAGTAAAATTTGGGGGTTCCTTATTATAATTATAGATACTATATTAATATTGGGGTTCCTTATTATAATCATAGATACTATATTAATATTGGGGGTTCCTTATTATAAAATTAGAGATACTATATTAATATTCGAGGGCTCCTTATTAAAATTAGAGTATAATGGGCCCCAACACTCTACCCTAAGTAATCTCTATTGGGCTTGGCAATGGAACCCAAGTCTGAAAAAACCAACAACCTGTCAACACCTGCTATAGGGGCCTTATCGATTAGAATAGGGTCTTGGGGCATACAATATTACAATTAACCTGAAGCCCAATATCCTGGACCAAAAAAGTTTAGACTTTTCTTTTAGTAGGGGGTTTAATATACCAAACAAGTTTAAAGTTTACTTATTGGGCTCGTAAGATTCTACGGACTTTAGGAGGGACCCTTAATAGGGACCCTTAATCCCATTGCCTTAAATAACCATTATATACTCCTTATATAGCCAGGTAGTCTCCATATTAACCCCAATAACCTACAAGGGTACCTATTAAGGGTCTCTCCTAAAGCCCTTTGAAAGATTATAACCAGGGAACTCCCCGAAGAGTTTTTGTAATGATTTGTGTTCCCCTAGAGTATCCCCAAGCCCGAGATGTGAATCAGGGCTTAGGATACAGGGTTCAGGGTTTACGGTTTATAGGGGTTTAGAGTTTAGGGTTTCAGGGCTTCACCGCTTCAGGATAAGAGTTAGGAACTTCGACCCAGGTGCTGATGACGCAGCGCTGCGTCGGATAAAGCTTCGGTCAGCTGAACGAGGGAAATCACCTGCAGGAAGTTGGCGCCGGAGGTGCCGGCTTAGGGTTTAGGGCTTTTAGGGTTTCGAGTTTCGGGTTTAGGATTTTTAGGGTTTCGATTTTCGGGTTTAGGGCTTTTAAGGTTTCGGGTTTCGGGTTTAGGGCTTTTAGGGCTTAGGTTTTAGGGTTTGGGGTTTAGGGCTTAGGGTTGCGGATGCAGGAGAGCCAGTGTACAGTCGAGCTACTTTGTCATGCCAGGTGAATCACAGCCTCTTCCTAAACCCTAAACCCTAAACCCTTCATCATTTGGTCTTCGACTCTGAGGCTCCCTTTAGGGCCAAGCGGAATCCCGAAATGCTAAGCTCAAACATTGAAGAATGCAAAGTTGCACACCCAGGTGCATGTGTACACATGTACATATGCACATGTACATACATATATATATATATACATACATACAGAACTACATTGGAAAACGCGCACCCGCAAACACGCACCCACACCCAGACCCACACACACACACACGCACACACACACACACTTCTGTACGAATGTTTGGCTCTTCATGCATCCAACTTTGTGCCAATGACAAGCCCGAGCCCGAAAACCTAGAATCAGCATGCTGGCCTTCAAAACTAGATTTCCGGCCGGGGGGTGGCATGGGAGCCTTAAATCAAAGAATAAGGTGTTGGGGTACAGCATCGTAAACTTGAACATGCACAATGACTCTGGGGGCAATTTGTCACTAATAGTTCAGGCCCCTGCGGTAGATAACACTCAAACTGACAAAGGGCTGGGCAAAACCTGACTGCCGCTCTTTGCAACTTCTTCCACAAGTGTGGTAAGTGTGGGCTCCATTAGGATCCTAAACCTCAAACATGAAACCTTATACCCTAAAACCTGCCGAGGTATAGTTTGCTAGCCCCATTAACCCTAAACCCTAAACCCGAAACCCTAAACAAACTCTTAAACGACAAGTGGCGGGCCATTTGCTGAGGTGAAGCGGGCCGTTGAAGTCCTCCTGCGATTCGCTTGGTGTAGAAGGAGTTTGGGGTGTAGAGTTTAGGTCAAAGGGAAGGAGCTACATCCATGCATTAACAAACGAAAACTACCTGAAAATCAGTATACATGGTCTTGTATGCCATAAAGCTTCAATCAATCGCGCAGCAACTATGTTTGGGGGGTGCATGACATTCGCCTTAGACTTGAAGAGCGTCGAGACTGTCCCCGCCGCTCTATCCAACATCTTTAACAACCTCATTATGTATACATCTATATATATATAAGTATATATAAGTATATATGTACGTGTATGCGCATATATATATATACATACAAATGTGTGTGTGTGTGTGGATATGTATGTATATGTATATGTATATGCATGTATGTATGTACGTATGAATGAATTAATGTATGTATGTATGTATGTATGTATGTATGTATGTATGTATGTATGTATGTGTGTTGGTACATGTGTATAAGCTGTTGTGTAAGTGTAAGTGTGAGAACAAACGTATTACTAAGACTAGGACTGATGATATTAAACAAAATAGTAAGAAGAAGAACAAGACCAGTACCAATAAAAATGACAAGTACATGCTCAATGTACGTGTACATGTATATTATGTATGTCTTGCTAATATGTGTACTAATGCATATCATGCACATTATGCATATGATGCACATGTATATGTATATGTGTATGCGTATGTATGTGCATGCAGGTGTTTCTATATCTGTATATGTCCATGCATGCGCATATGCATTTGTATATATGTATATGAATATTTATATGTGCACGCATACGTATATGTATACGTATGAGCACATGTGTGTATGTGTGTGTGCATGTATGTATGCATGCATGTATGTCTGTATGCTTGTATCTGGGTCTGTGTCTGCGCATGTGTGTATGCGCACATACACATACATACACATTTATAAATTCATGCATTCATGCATGCACAAACACCCAAGCAAGCAAGCACACAAGCAAACACACACACACACACACAACCACGCACACACACACACACACACACGACCACCCAACCACCCACCCAAGCACCCAACTACGGACCCACCCACCCACCCATCCACCCGCCCGGCCGCCCGCCCGCCCACCTCATATATGCATAACCCAGCATGCCTTCGCACATAGATTAAGGCCGCTTTACTCTTCAAACCCTTTTAGCTTCAAACCTCTGAAGCGGTTTTCCAAACTCCCAATGGCTTTTGGCAATGTCGAAGCCTTAATCGTTTGAGAAAAGGGTTTTGGAGGTAGAATATGTATATCGTGGTTTCAAAGAAGAGAACCCTAAGGAATAATATGCTAGTTATTCAACCTTCTATGAATAAATGAAAACAATACATATATATATATATAGAGAGAGAGAGAGAGAGCGACATATATATATATATATAGATATGTGTATGTGTACATATCTATATATCCAGATATTAAGGCTTAACTAGATACTTCTATTTATATCAGAAGCTCCCAGGCACCGGAGGTTTCGCTCCTCTAGTGCAGCGAGCACCGCAGCCGCCAGCGATTCCAAGGTCCTTCGCCAAGGAGGAAATTGGTTTAGGCTTAGGGTTTAAGGTCTAGGGTTTAGGGTTTAGGCTTAGGGTTTAAGGTTTAGGGTTTAGGGTTTAGGGCTTAGGGTTTAAAGTTTGGGGTTTAGGGTTTAGGGCTTAGCGTTTAAGGCTCAGGAATTTAGGAAGTACTGAACATGTAGCTACCTAAATAGAGGCAGGTTTAGGGTGGTTAGCGTTCGGGGTTTGCGTAGGGAAATTCTTTAGCTTAGGGTTTAAATGCGATGCAAACCATCCGATGTGTCCACTCCTTTTTACTTGCAAGCTTGCGCAATTGATCCTGCGAAGCTTTATTATTATGCATGTCTACCCTAAACCCTAAACCCTAAACCCTAAACCCTAAACCCTAAACCAGAACGACGAGCTGCAGAATCCAGCAAGCCACGACATCAATCCGTCACCATCGTCCTCCTCCTCGCTCTCGCTGCTGTCGGTGCTCCCGTTCCTCGGGATGTCATCCGAAGCCTGTATCCGGTTTTGCAGCACTCCATGTGTGGAGGTTTGTATGACTCGGTGTCTCGATATGCGCTGCGCAGCAGCCGGATAGCTGTGGCGCACAAGCCTCCCAGCAACAGGAGCCAGTTACGAAGGTCCCATTAAACTCCGGCGGCCAGCAGCAGCCCGGTCTTTCTTTGTAAGGGCCGCATTCAGAAGCCGTGCTATGTCGGCATATCCGCCTTGAGATGCTGCCAGCCGAGATGCCCCTAAACCCTGAACCCTAAACCCTCGTCAAGAGTTTCAGTGTCAACATCGGATGCCAGCAGCAAACGAACCATCTCAACCTGTCGACTCGCACATGCAAGTGTGAGCAGCCCATGACCTGAATTTCTGGCCGAGTCCTGTTTGGTACCTGCCCCCAACAGCAGGCGAGCTGTCTCAACATGACCCGACAAACATGCGAGAGCCAATGGTGTCATGCGATCACTGTCAGCAGACTCGATGTCAGCACGAGTTCTACCTGGCCATGACGAGAGGCCCGCTGGAGCGGCGTTTGCACATTCACGTCGACTACATCCGGATCTGTCGGGGATTGGAGCATTGCTTCGAGCTCATCTGCATGGCCACACAGAGCAGCGTGCATGATGGCATCGACTTGCACTGGTGAGGCATCAACAAAGGGCAGCAGAACGAGCTGCAAATCCATGGGTGCATCTATCGTTCTTAGAGGATCATGGGACTTAGTAAGTGAGGTTATAAGTCCCTTAATTGGGCTTGTAAGTATAGTTGCCCTAATTATAACCCTACTTACTAAGTCCCATGATCCTTTAAGTTGCCGTGTCATTCAAAGGCTCGCCTCGGTGCAAGAGCCTCTCTGCCTGAAGCGTGGAGGCAAGCTGAAGTTATCATGCAGATACCTGGGTTGCTCTTTATATTACCTTGCTAAAATTATAACTTTTAGTACCCCTAGTATCAAAAAAGGCTAGTCCTAAAAAAAGAAAGCTATAAAGTGACTGTAAAGTTCAACCAAGATACCTCTTCAATTCCTTGATGTCCTTCCATTCCTTAGAAGAAAAGCTCTCGAGCTCGGCTCCTGACAGTGTCCAAGTGCGCAGCATCGTGATGCAAACTAAGGGGCTGAGTACCCTTGCCCAAAAAGGTTAACCTTTTGAACTATAGTAGGATCATAAGGAGCCCAAAAAGTTAAAGGTTACCTACTCAGCCACTAAACAAATGGCTGGCTGCAGACTTCAGGAGCCAAACTGTGGCAGAATGCAATAAAATCATCGCATTGCACACGCAACATTCAAAACAGTGCAGCTGACCCAACCCCCTAAACCCTTAACCCTGAACCCTAAACCCTAAGCTGACCCAAGCCCCAATCATGACGCTCAAGCTTCACCTGCTGGCTCACACAGGCCCTGCACCCCAATGCTCCTCATAAGAACCTCACAAACGCCCTAAGCGCACTCTGTGGCATACTTGATGTGTGCCTGTGGGTAAAGGCCTGTAGCAGTGAGATTCAAGCATCTTGGAGGCTCCGGGTTTAGGGTTTAGGGTTTAGGGTTTAGGGTTAATAGGGCAGTCCACCCCCCCAACTCTCAAACCTCTTATCTTTGATTCAAGGTTCAGATCAGCAGAGTCCCAGCACTTATGGCTTTGGCCTGCTCAAGTAATGCAGGAGCCTAACTAATTACCAATACTATTTTGGGGGGGTTCCTTGTTATAGCTTTAGTAGAATTTGCCCCAAAACCTCTATTCTACTTATTAGGACCCCTAGTATAGAACCCTATCATAGATCCCGTATGGAACCTAATTGTGACGAACTATTAAGACCCCATACAATACCCAGATCCCAACTGAAGCCAGCCTCGCGTCACGGAAGAAGGGACCCATCTCAGCTAGAGGTTCCCTTGTCAACTTGAGGCTCCTTACAGAAACTAGTTTAGGGCTTAGGGTTTAGGGTCTACTTTAGGGTTTAGGGTTTAGGGTCTACTGTAGGGTTGAGGATTTAGGGTTGGGGGTCTACTTTAGGGTTTAGGGCCTAAGGGAGCCAAAATACTTAGAGCGGGGCTTCTTTTGGGGCGGGGGTATGTTGCAGCCGCCTGGATAGTCTTACCAACAAGACTCACCTATTTCCTGGTCCTAGAAACTGTACCCGAATGACATAGACGTGGCTATTCCTCTGGGACGTCCCGGAGGCTTCTTCCCCCAAGCCCGAAACTCTAGCCAGTATAGACAGCCTCAGTCTATTGTATAGGCTATGTACAGAGGCCGAGATACTCACGATGTGGCCACGAAGACATACAATCTTCAAGTCTGAGCTTTTCTCCTGTGCCCCGCATGGCCCAGCCGCATCAGCGCGAATGCGACGAAACCCAGATGCCTGTGCACACGCACTAGAGTGCCGGCGGGGTCCCCAGAGATGATTGCTAATGGGGACAAGACCATAACTGGTTCCATGTTGGGGCTATATTAAAACTGATCATTCTTGATCCTTATTGGGCTTTATTATAACGAAAATGTAAAATTGTATCCAACACCGACCCAGATACGTGCGTTGGGGTCGGGGGGGGGGGCTTTGTAGGGCCTCCTGGGCTGGAAAAAGTCGCATCGTCGCCCGCGAACACCACGAATTGTGTTTGTGTGTATATACATATATACATATATATGTACTACAAATATGTATCTATATATATATATAGAGAGAGAGAGACAGAGAGATATCCTAATGCTTAGATCCATAATACTTATAAGTACCTATTCATATGGTTTTTACAGATAGGACACAATATACAAGCTAGCTTTATACACATATATACATATACATATATATATATATATACACATACATATGCAATATACATATATATATATATATGTATAGTTATATTTACATGTGTGTCAGTATATGTAGAGAACCTAAACCACCCTGAAGCCTCCCATCACTTCTCAAGTTCCCTACAGAGAGCTGGCAATGCATGGCCCAACCGGCCGTGACCGCCCAAGATTAGGCTTTAGGGTTTAGGGTTTAGGGTTTAGGGGTTTAGGGTTTAGGGTTTAGGGTTCCCCCCTTTTTGAAATTTGACGTCCTCAAGCTCGATCATCCATAAGCTGCCATGAGAGTTGTCAACCTTATACGTGTTATTTACCTGTAGTCTCCATTGTAGTTCCTTTTTGGGGATACCATATAAAATCCTTCATATAATTGGTTAAACCAAAAAAGGAACTACAATGGAGACTATAGGTAGAGTTCTGGGTTCTTGATGAAAGTCCCCAGGAAGTCGCTGGTTGGCCCCTTGTCTCGCCTCGGGTTTCGGAATCTCGCGGCCGAAGCGGCAATCGCCGGACAGAACCTACTTGGAGGATCATGGGACTGAGTAAGTAAGGTTATAAGTCCCCTAATTGGGGTTACAAGTACAGTTACCTTAGTTATAACCCTACTTACTAAGTCCCATGATCCTTTAAGTATCTTAGGGCTTTGGGGTTAGGCAATTAATGAAGAGTGCAGAGCTTGTCAGATGTTGGCAGTAGCGTTTTTTCAATTGCATGTCGTCTTCTGATCTGGCTTTAGGGTTTCAGGAGCCCTAAACCCCTTACTAAACCCTAAACCCTAAACCCCTAAACCCCTAAACCCCTAAACCCTAAACCCTAAACCTTAAACCCTAAACCCTAAACCCTGGAGCAGGAACTAGGGCTCTTGGATGGCTTCGAGGACTTTGACGCTCGATCACAGCAAGCCCCCGTGCAGAGCTCAGGTTTCGAGAAGTTGGATACAAAAACACGGATACCCATAGGCCCCATAGTAGTTCCTTTTTGGGATTAGGGTTGAGGGTGTAGGGTTTAGGGTTTAAGTTTAGGGTTTAGGGTTTAGGGTTTTCAGGATTTAGGGGTCCATGTGCCCAAGTAGTATATACTTTGGCCTCAGAAAGTAGTCCCTTGTATAATTTCGAGCTTCTTGAGGGCCAAAGTGTATACTATTTGGGCACCTGGACCCTTCGGGAAATGAGGACCCGGGTTCTCAATATGAACCCCAAAAAAGGAACTACCATGGGGCCTATGGACCAAACCACGCGAGAATGACGAGATCACGGCACATCCACCGCCCTGGATACTTGAACTTTGGCAGGAAGTGGAGGAAAGGGCTTAGGTTGCCGGTCTGAGCACTTTACTTTCGACGGCTGGGGCTTGATTCCCAGGCCACAAACCCTCAACTCCCTAGCTGCTACATGCAACTATCAGGGCGAAGTGGAGTATAAAGGCTTCGTGAATTCGGGCTGGCTCCTTGCCGGGCATTGAAAAAGGACCCTTCGTGACCTGTTTGTCACAACACTGGGCGAGTTGAGCTGACTTCCAAAACATCTCTGAAGCCTTCTGCCCCCGAAAGCTTCTCATCTCTAAACCGATACATCCTGATCCCAAACCTTCATTCCTCAACCTCAAATCTTACGGCCGAACCCTCTGTGCCCTAAACCCCTTCATTTGTTTCAAAGCTACGAAAGCCAATAATCATCTTCGTTCATACGGTC